GGAACGCGGCGCTCGAGAACTCGCTCAGAATGGACGGGTTGACCGCCGGGTCGTATTTGGTGAACCCCGTGCTGTTGACACCGATTTTGTAAAATTGCATTACTTTCGGGCCCAACACTATCGGCAAAAATTCGTTGTACGTTATCATTTGCATTTGGGCTCCGATTATGCGCCTAAACGGGAATATAAAATGCATTTTTTAAAAATTATTAGCGTAACTATAAGAATCAAGTTTAAAATTATAAATTTTTATATTGTAAAATTTACCTAGATTCTTGAAACACACGCTCACTGTCCCAGGTGGGGTTCAATTGCTTTAGAGCCGATGCCACCCGATTGTGCTGTCTCATCTACAAATAAACAATTCATTAGGGTTTTTATGTTAAATAAGCACAAGTCAAATCATAAAATTAGTGTATTGTTTCAGTAAATAGTTTAAATAAACATGTTATTAAAAGTAAAAACTATTAAGATAATTATTGTTTTGTTACCCAGAGTGTGTGCAAAGTGGTGAGCGCCGGGTGTTGATTGACGCGGGAGTTATCTCCGGCCCGAAAGCACAGCTTATTGGGTCGACTGCACTGATCGTTGTCTATATTATTACTTTGAGGCAATATATGCTTACCCTTCCTGTCAAAAGGTCTCCGTGACAGAAGGGGTCGAAGCGTTGGGCACTGCGACCGACGAGACCGCGTAGGATAAAGTCCATCTGACCTTGATGCATTCGGGTGGGCGTAAAAAAGTTGTCCCTTAAATTGAACGATGACTTCTGGGAGGGTGTGCTGGCGCTGATCATGGTGAATCGGCCGTTCACTATACTGTGCCCGAACCGGAACGCGGCGCTCGAGAACTCGCTCAGAATGGACGGGTTGACCGCCGGGTCGTATTTGGTGAACCCCGTGCTGTTGACACCGATTTTGTAAAATTGCATTACTTTCGGGCCCAACACTATCGGCAAGAATTCGTTGTATGTTATCATTTGCATTTGGGCTCCGATTATGCGCCTAAACGGGAATACAAAATGAATTTTTAAAATAATTATTTGCATAACTATACGAGAATCAAGTTTGAAATAATAAATTTTTATATTGTAAAATTACCTAGATTCTTGAAACACACGCTCACTATCCCACGTGGGGTTCAATTGCTTTAGAGCCGAGGCCACCCGATTGTGCTGTCTCATCTACAAATAAACAATTCATTAGGGGTTTTATGTTAAATAAGAACAAGCCAAATCATAAAATTAGTGTATTGTTTCAGTAAATAGTTTAAATGAACATGTTATTAAAAGTAAAAACTATTAAGATAATCATTGTTTTGTTACCCATAGTGTGTGCAAAGTTGTGAGCGCCGGGTGTTGATTGACGCGGGAGTTATCTCCGGCCCGAAAGCACAGCTTATTGGGTCGACTGCACTGATCGTTGTCTATATTATTACTTTGAGGCAATATATGCTTACCCTTCCTGTCAAAGTGAGCGCCGGGTGTTGATTGACGCGGGAGTTATCTCCGGCCCGAAAGCACAGCTTATTGGGTCGACTGCACTGATCGTTGTCTATATTATTACTTTGAGGCAATATATGCTTACCCTTCCTGTCAAAGCCGACGGCCAACAGACCTAATAATTAACAAATCAAACGACAATCAATTTAAGCCACAATCAAATCGCTTGATCAGCAAAAACACAGACCGTCTTTATTTCGGAGGCCGAGAGTGTCGTTAAGACTATTGCCGTAAACATTGGACGCGTCGATGAAAGCGGACAACTCGTTGAGCTGAAGCCTCGCGCCGGCGGTACACGACTCGCAGGGAACCGATCGGACAAAGTTTATACACCGTTTGCCCATTCGGTTATAGAAGGCGTCGTTGGGTAGGATTGGTATCTCGAAACAGTCGGGATGTGTGGGTCGGGGACAGCACTGTATGCCACCCGAGCGAAGTTGTGTGACCGGTGTTAGCGAGATGTCGTGGTCGAGGAATTGGCCGAATTGCATCAACATATGGGTGTAGTTGGCCGACACGTCCTCCTGAGCGTGAATCGATACGGACAGTATGCGGGGGTTTGGCAGCGGCCGACCCGAACGGGCCACTCGTGGCACCGATACGCCTATTTGGACCGATATTGTGGTCATTAGTAAATGAGATAACGCTATAATTGCGGTGAATGTATAGATGGCTAATACCGTCGGCGTATTCCGGGTCCAGGAGTCTAGCGATGCACTCAAACGACTTTCCCCATCGAGTGTTGCGGACGTTATTACAGCTGCCGTCGGGCGTCCGGAAGCGACTCTTCGCCGGACAAGATATCGCCTGTTTTGAGCGACACGTCTGTCGCTTAACGCGGATCAGTTTGTGTGACTCCACCCGCGGGTTGTGCTTCAGAGACAGCGCTTCCTCTCGGCTAAGACTTCGGCTAATTATTTGCAAAACCAAAACATAAGTAAAACAAAAATGTTTGGAAACCAAAGTTTGTGAAGAAACAAAAAAATACAACAAAACAAAAGTTTTAACGAGTTATTAGCAAACATTGGGAAACAAAATGCAAAAGTTTTGAAACAAATAAAAACTAAACAATACTTTTGTATCAAATGTCGGGACACTTCCTCAAAGAGGCGCTGATTTTCGTGTATTTCCCGCAAGAAATGCTTGTTTTGTGAGGGAATGAGATGTCGAGCGGCGGCCGATATTACGGTCGTATCAATGAATAACCGTTTCTCTTGAATATCATTCTCGATGGACTTCAATCGGTTCCGTAACTCTTCGGCTCTATTCAGAGCCGTTTCAATGTCTGTATCACTGAATGAAAGCTGTGAACACTTTTCATCGTTTGTTTCAAAGTTTTCGTCACTTGTATTTTTCTTCTGGGGTTCAGAAGCACTGACACAACAAACACTGATTTGGCTATAGATTAGAGGATCAGATGAGATGATAATTACCGAAGATATTAACAGACAAGAAGAGAGAGAGAGAGAGAGAGAGAGAGAGAGATCGGGATGAAAAAACTTACCACAGAAGCAACAAAAAGCAAATCGCTTTAAACATTGTTGGAGTTGTAGTCAAGTGTTGGAGTGAAAGAGATTTTGAGACCAATTGAGAGACACATTGATTGCACACTAACTGCTGGATAACAAACACGCGATTATATTATTTCGTTATTCGCAACACATATGAAGAGATGATAAAAAATGCAAACGGTTTTCACTCATCCCTTCATAAGCGTCTGTTTATATGTCATGACCACAGATATACTCAACCACTCTATAGACAACTCTTTATTATAAGAGGGAAAGAGTGAGAGGGAAAGTATGAGAGAGAGAGAGAGAGAGAGAGATCGGTTCGGGCGGCCAATACTGCCGACAACACCCGCGCCCTGGAATAACGAAAGAGAGAGAGAGAGAGAGAGAGAGAGAGAGTTGTTTGTTATTCGCACGTCAAACAACAATTTTGTTAAAATATTAAAAAATGAGTTTTTTATTATCACTTATTCTTCTTCTTACGTTATAATAGCAGCTATTCTTCAGTTTAAATGAAACATTTGTTTTGTTTTATTAATTAAAGTCAATATCAAAAACCCAATTATTTTCACAATTCAATTAAACAAATAATGATTATTATTATTATTTAGTAAATTGTTGGCGTATTTTGCAGTTCAAGACTATTTGAGATGTGATTTGCAAACAAATGATAGAAAAATTGTATTTCCATTAACAGGCTATATATGAAACAAATATAAAAAAGACAATACATTTGTTAGTACTCTATATCTAATCGATGGTTATTTTTAATCACAAATAAATCACTGAATAATTAATATACTTTATATATAAATAATTTATATAAAACATTCTCTCTTTTATTCTCTGTCCTTAAGAAAACACATATCTTTCAAGTTATAAGGTTTTCCTCAAAATAAACTTAAAAGTCCTTAAAATATATCACTTTTTGTGATATATTTTCATATAATATGAATGTTAAAAATTCAAGAATTCATATCTATATTGAATAAAAATCAATAAAAACCAATAAAAATGTAGCTATTATTCCAGTGAAGGTAAATATGGGAAATGAAAAAAGGTTGTTAACAATTGTCACAAAAATCTATTCACTATAAAAGTCTATTCAATGTATTGAAAGTCATTGTCAGACACATGCACTCCAAGTGTACTGAAATTCATATTATTAAGCATTGATTTGATTTGTTTTGTAAATCAATTCAACAATATTTGCGAAATAAAAATAAAATATTTAAATGAAAAATTCATTGACAATAAAAATATCAAATAATAAATCGATCATTAATTATAAAGTTAGACTTTGAAGTTAAAAAATTTATTATTTCTTGCATTGAATAGTTATGTGTAAAAACAATCATTAAATATATTGTAAAAACTTTCGTGTTTTTAAGACTAGTATTAATATAGAAATAAAATAAATTTTAGGCAAAAAATATAATCAAATGCTTACACAAAAAAACTTTTTAAAAACTTTGTACACAATATTATCATATATTACATCGTTTTTGTTATTATACTGTATTCACAGGTCTGTACGTCTCCTCTGATTTCGGGACAATAGACGTGTTGTTTCGTTCACTAACCCCACAAACGCTAATAAATATCACAATAAATAAAATTTAATAATTAATACAAAATCTAACACTTAATACACAAATATATAATAATCACAATATTAATTTTAAAAATCACAAAAAGCTAAAAACATATCATTAGAAAAGCACATTAAAAATTTAAGCTTATTTTATTGGTGGCAAACAAATAGCTGAACAATTTTGCGGACTTAAACAGTAATGTATTTGAATGGACACCTGAGTCGGCGAGTCCGTAGCCAAAGTTGCGGTGCGCTCTCAACAGTTGCATAAACAATAGCACCCGAACCAAAACCAATATCGCACCGGCGAATAGACACCCGTAGGACAGTAGGGTCTGTTGCGATACACAACCCGTCCAACCGAAACACGACCGCAAAAATATGAACTGAAAATATTTTGAGAGAGAAAGTTATTATTCAAATGAAGTGCTCAAACAATATGTGCTCTCTGTTTGCGTTGTGTACCGTTATTATCATCATTATTGTTGTGTTTATATAATGCATGTATAATATAATCGTAATCTGTTTGTGTCCTAATTTGTGAGATGAATAGCGTTTGTGCGCTTTTTTGCTTATGAATATTATAATACATGGCTTATACTGTGGGGTATTTGCAATGTGTATCTCATTGTCTGCTGGTATATAACATACACTTTGCATTTCAATCGCTAAGATTCTTACATAACTTTCGCTTTTAAGTGCATATTATATAATAAAATATTTCTCTCACTTCATGTGTATTTGTTATATAATACTAGTGTTGTGTTGTATAGGCTATCATGCGATGGGCTTATAATGTATGCAAACTATGTTTGTATTTGTATTAAATGTTGAGTACAAACCTGTAAAGGCACCCATAGTAGGGATGTGATGGATAGGCACACAAATAACAGTAAACAACACTTGACTTCCTTTAGTACCTGCGATGATAAGGTGTGACAAATATTAGGACATTTTAATCCATAGCATAATTCATTGTGGGTTTTAAATATATAATGGTGAAATATTAAGCTCGAGCTATTGTTTTTTGAGAACACCAGGTAATTAGTGGTTACGAGTGGGGGGAGAGAGAGGGAGGGAGAGATACAGTAGCCGAGAGCTGATGGTTGCATCAGATCCTCAGTCGTCCTACACTTAAATATTACGGACAATTAGGCTTAAGACAAGTGCAATGAATGCCAAGAGATAGTGATTACAATTAAATACTGGATTTAGGACTGGTTTGCAATGAACTATAGACCTTGAAGTTAATTCACATGTATTATGAATTTGGTCTCTAATTATAATTTGAGGCATCAATTGAAGCGTTAAATAAATTTATTGTTTGTTAACTCCTTTCTATGTATTATTGTTGCGTTAAAACCAACTTTCTTTATTATGTATTGTTCGAGAGAGAGAGAGAGAGTTGTTTGTTATTCGCACGTCAAACAACAATTTTGTTAAAATATTAAAAAATGAGTTTTTTATTATCACTTATTCTTCTTCTTACGTTATAATAGAGAGAGAGAGAGAGAGAGAGAGAGAGAGAGAGAGTTTATGAGTATATATTAATTATCATCAATATTTAATGAATTTACTAAAGTATTAGTCTATTTAATAGGACTATTAAACTCCAAGATAAATGTCAGAGATGTTTAGGAATTGAATTACAGACCCTTAATAGGGATCCGTAATAAAAATATAGTATTTCTCATTGCATTGTGTTTTATTGCATAAGGATTTCAAACAAACAAAAATAAAATTCATTTACGAATTGATAGCAAAGAAAAGCCAAAGAAAATGAAAAAAGAAACGATATTTTATATAAACTAATCACTCAATACATAGGATTCGTGTAAAGCATGTCCTGATTTACAATAAGAAACACATAATTAATAATGCATTTCATCTAAAATGAAAATTCTGTTGGATTTTTCATTACACAATCCGAGAGATAATTTTGCAAACCGTTGTGTTTAATAGCCGACCATATGATGGTTGGCTCGCAAACACTTTTCCGTGACATCAAAGACCTCATTAACGAGAGAAATGTCTGGCATTACATAGAAATTAATATTTATATTTAATAAATACATTAATAATTGTGTTTAAAAAGTCTTTCCTAACACTTTGTTCACTAAAGATATGCGCGAAATATCCGCACAAAAATGTAATTTAAAACAATAATAACTTGATTTTGAATTTAAATTTTAGATATCGGTAAAATGGTTTATGCGCTTACAAATGATATAAACATTAATTATATTACTTATATTTTTGAAATTATATTTAATTTAAACAAAAAACAACTCAATCTAATAAAAGATAAAATAATATAGAGTATTCAAATTATGTGATATGATATAATAAAATATTATACACAAATTCTATCAACAATTTGCATAATAATAATCATTTATTTATTGTTTGATATTTTATGAATTTGTTTATTCAATAAAATACTATTAAATAAATGCATTAATCAATAGACTATTTGAATATTAATTCAAGTGTTCATTGAAACCCAATACAGTGTGCATTCAAAAGTTGTACACAATTGAGAACATAGACATCATTTTCATCTCTCTCTCTCTCAATATGTTTTGTTTTCTTATCGAGTGATAAAAATCACTTGAAATGAAAGAATTGTTTTGATTATTTAAATATTTTATATACAAAGTTATTAAATGTATAAAAACTTTGAATTTAATTTTTTGCGAAACACAACAATTGTAATAAATAATTGTTAACAAAAAAATCATATTTAAAAATTCATGGCTAATGAGTGGTAAATGATATTTCACAACAAATCCTATGTTAAGACAATTAATATCACGTGGAAGTGACAGATGAAAAGAGTTTTGTATACATTTGTATTGTTTTTGCAAATCTATTGTAACTCTTTTGCTGTTTCTATGACTGATTTCAATGATATTCTTTACTCCAATGCATTGAATACAGAAATTTTTGTTTTGTTTCTATCATTGAATTTCATTTGCATATCCTTTTATAAATCACAAAATTCATGGAAAAATACAATTCCAAAAGATATGCTTCATTTGAATATCTCAGTCAAGTATTGACGAGAGAGAGAGAGAGAGAGAGAGAGAG